AGTCACAGTGCATTGATCTATATATAAATATATATATATATATACAGTATATAGTAGAATATGTAACATTAAGTACAAAGTATACAGAGAAAGTGGCAAGGAATTCATGCCACAAAACAAACAGGCACATCAGCAACTAGAATTTCTACACTACCTGTCCTTTCCTTCAGTGTTCCTGGGATGCAGAATAAGGATATATTCAATTTTACTAATAAAAACTATATAGTAAGTAATTTAGCAACTTTAATAAAATAAAATGAAAAATTATGTCTTAAATAATAAATAAAAGTATAAAAAAAAATTGTTCATGACACATTACCAGTTTTCAATAACTGACAGAATTCATTTTGAACATAATGAAAGAATTCATTTTCTTTAAAATAAAAATATAACTTTTGAATATTCATATTCTTTCATATCTAAAGGTAAGGGAGGAATGGAGCAAATTCATATTTGAAAAACTACCGAAAGATATTTTCTTTTGATCTAGATTAAAAAAAATACTCCGATGCTCTAAATTTCAGTTCATCGTGCATATTTTGTATTGGAAGAAAGACAAAAATGATTTCTATTTATGAAAGTAAGTTTTTCTTAATATTCTCTCTTTTGAAAGAATCAATAATACTGAATATGTATTATTTTGATGAAAATGTCTTCAAATGAATGCATTTTTGTCAGTAAATTTGAACTTATTTTTTCTTCTAATACAGTTCTTTTGTATTTTCTTCTAGGAAGATAAAGAGAGACTAAATTACTGTATTCATTTTTTTCCCTTTTTTTTAACAAAAAATGCATATGTTTTCCAAAATTTAAATTTTTATTGATTTTATACAAAAGTTCTGCATTTATTGAACAGATTTCTTACCAGATAAGTGTTTAAAAAATATTTTCTGCAGTTGAGAAAAAAGTATTTTATAAAATGACAAAGTTTTTCCATTATTATTATATTTAAATTTTATAAATGATCATGTATTTCAAAATAATACTTGTTTATGAAATTTATTAAGGTAAATGTTAATCACACAAATNTAATTTTAATTTTAAAGAACATTTTTTAATCAGAAAAAACAAAATATTATAAAACAAAATTTTAGTCAATAGTTTTTGACTTTCAACTTCACAAATTTTTTACATCATTTTTCAAATACCAATGAAACAATGTAAATAAACAGACATAAATCATATCTCTGTCTTGTATCTTGTCAACATCTGGTTTCCAATCAATTTAATTAATGTTATAGATAGTGATATTGATTTAAAAGTAGGAATAAGAATAAAAGTAAATAAAAGAAAATCTTTTTATATAAAATGAACAAGAATTATTTTCTTGATTATCAAAATGAAAAAGTTTAGTTGGTATTGTATATCAATGCACAAGTTTTATGTTGTTACTAAAAGTCTTTCAGAATAGTATATATTTAAAAAAAAAATTTGAGCATATCTTATACTTATTTATTCTAATAACATCTTAATACATTTCAACAAAAAAATATATTAAAAAAATTGTGAATAAACTGTAAATGTATTTTAAAAATTTGTTTACATGTAATTTTAAAAGATATAAGTTTAGAAACAAAAGATCTCTGAAAATGATTAAAAAATAAATAAATAAAACATCATTTTTTAAACGAAAGTGATCTGAATTCTAATATTGTTTAAGGAGTTATAAAATGGATTATTTAATAAATTATTTTCATAACCTATGTTGATATAATTATCATCATCTATCATTAACATCATTCTATCATATCAACTTCTCTCTCTGTAATTCCCTACAGACTTAATTAATGTAGATGAGAAAAGAATTACCAATATATTTACATATCTAATTACTGTTACTTATAGAATAAGATAACCTAATAGTATCCTGTTGTCTGTCTTCAGGCTGCAAAAATCACATGATGAAACACTAATTACATTTAACTCATATCTAACTTACATACTTTGGTAGTCTTTAAATAGAACTACAGCAACTCTTTCAGGATAGATTCACTTTAATTATTCATTCATTATTAAAAAATTTTTAATTATCTTCTCATTTAAATTTTTTTCAAGAAATATCAATTAAAAATATTCTTTAAGTAAAAAATGATGTACAATCAACATTGTTTGCTCAACAAATTTAAGTTAAATAATCTTAATTGCAGTTTAATAGAATATGTATTAACACTTTCTACTGAAAAGTGCATAGCTGATAACTATTATTACATACAAAGACAAATAAATTATTTTCAAATAATTCAATCATTCTTAACTAGTCCCTAAATTAAATGCAGATAATGATGACAACAATATGATTGATATGAACAATTCTGATAAAAACTTCAATATTCAATGCAGTTAAAATAATAATAAAAATTTAAAGAATTCATACCTGATTTTAATAAATATAAAATAATTAGCTATTTTAGAGATATCAAAGTATTACTTTCCTTAATAATTTGTTTATTTACTATTATATTTAAGAACTTATAAAATGTTATTTTAGTAATTTCAGCTAAAATTCAAAATTTTTTATGATGCAAATTCAATTCAATCACATCAAAAACTTCTAAATTTAATCTGTTATTAGGAAGAATAAGATCTTTGTTAAAAGATCTAATTCCACTAAATATGCATTAATTGCAGCATTCTTTACCTCTTATTTTAGTCAAATAACTGGGTTTTCAATTAAATGTCCAATTTCTCTCTAAGTTTTATCATATCGAGACATCTAAATACTTAGGTATATAATTAAGAAAGCTACAGATAATCCCACTGAGAAAGATTTGGATACTTAATTAACACTAATGAAATCAAACATCATTTTATATAAAATGAGTTTTGGTTAATCCAATTTTATATTAAATATTTAATCACTACTGCAAAACTTTTCATTTTGTTTAAATAATTAAAATTGAATCTTACTGAACTCTTGTATCTTTAATTGTATTTTTCTTCAATTCATTAATTGATTTTATATTATTAAATTAAATTATATTCTAATTGTAGTATATAGTTGATATAAATGATATTCTCACTAAGACAATTTTATAAAGTTTCATAAAAGAATTTGTGCTTTTCATTGTATTATGTTATATGGATTTTAAAACTTGGACAATATACTTTGACCTGTCAAATTTTATGATAAAAATATTGCATGAAAATATCTAAAATAGCTTATGACAAATAATATCAAATCCTATTTGGCTACAAGCCATAACATCTCCCTGTATCATAAATATTTTTATTGACAAGGATAGGAGAAATATGTTCAAGTTATTTATTTATATTTTTCCCGTATTTCATCAAAATAAAATGGAAAATTTCCTGGTATGGAACAATTCAGACGAGATTTGAGAAATGATGTCCATTGTTTTCCTTTGACTCCAGAAGTTCCATCTCCTTGATCCTTCGTGCAAACTCGAGCCACTCTTGAATAAACAGCCTAAAAGTATATTTTTTAAAATTATACTATTGTTTTATAACATAATAATTACCTGATATTTTCAACGAAAATTTGTCTGCTATCTTATAGTACTGCGAAATAACATCACGTTTACGTATGTGTATATGATTGGAAGTAAAATAGAAACAAATTTCTACTGTATTGTTGTTACAGACAAACTGCGAGAAAACAAGGAGATTTACGCGGGTCGTCGGTATTATTGCAATAGTGTTAAAAGTTACCGTGTCTTCAAACTGTAAACTTATGTTTAAATTTATTCTATTATTTAAGGGCATTTTTATTAATTTTAGATTGTTTTTAAGATTTTTACATTATTTATTAGTTGTTCACGCAGTCGCGTGTTATCGATTTTTATTATAAATACAGATAGAGCCCTTTTGATTACACACGACGATAAGTAAATTCTTTCAAATTATATCTATTATTTTGAAATAATGTTTTGACATTTGTATTATTATTATGGTATATATTAGTATTGATTTAAGTACAACTTCATCAACATTCCTATTCATAATCCACTTAAGGAGTGCAATCGTCTTTAGGTACGACCATAGTCGTAATTAATCGCCTTAATAAAAAATTCCCGTGCAAAATTTCTGTAACTGTTGAGAAAAGACACTGTAGATATTAAGCTTCAAAAAAAAAAAACAAAACCTACTCCCACGCAAACATACTCTACATACACAAATTAACACCGATTTTTTTTAATTTCTCGATTTTTCAAGGAATTCTGAATCCAAAAATGCAAAACTCTTGTGGTGTCATTTTCTGACCGATTGATATAGTTTTCATGTGTTTTGTAGAACAGCCGGAAAAAGTGACGATAATTGTTGGTTCCTAATTTTCAGTCTAGATTAAATGTTATTTTATAAACCTAATGATAAAAAAAGATAAAGTTACAATTTATATCCAAAGCAAAGTTTTACACCTTATCTAGTCGAATCGTAATAAAACCAGAACAAACAAAGAGAATATTCAAATGTTCTGTTTGTGTTACGAAAATTATTTATAAGTAAGTATATTTATCTCATGTAATCATTCGGTTAATAGCAGCATCTTCGGAGAAAGGTATCCGAGAACTGGTACTAACTCTAGAGAGGGTAAACTGTGACGGACGAACTCTCATTCGTCATAAAACTTTGTCCTTTATTTGGGTGTCTTTCCCTGTCTCTTCTATTGCCCGTTTTTCGTAAAGTAAATCTCCATGTCCAATATTCATTTATTCGTTAGGTTCGTTGTGACACATTCGATATATCATTTCGAAAAAAGCATCACACAGTACTTCATATCATTAAATTTTAATTCAAATTTTAAATACAAGTAACTGAACTAATAAAGCTTTAAATTTAATTAATCCTCAGTCATAATTAAAACGAAAAGTGGCAAAAAAACTGACAATTTCGTGAAATTTGAGTCAGCGGTTTAGAAGAAAAGGGTAAACCCCTATCTATTTTGTGATAAACGATTGAAAAGGTTAACTTTATCCATTCTGCAGTTTCGTGGTAGAAGAAGAAGGTATGTGATACACCTTTAACGTATAAAAAAATGTTTGAGCTGACATTTCTCAACATCTTCATTATGCTAGTTACCTTCTTTTCCCTTTATGCCATTCAATTATTTAACTTTTTATACTAGTGTCAATTATGTAACTTAACAAATTATAACCTNTTTCTACTGAAAAGTGCATAGCTGATAACTATTATTACATACAAAGACAAATAAATTATTTTCAAATAATTCAATCATTCTTAACTAGTCCCTAAATTAAATGCAGATAATGATGACAACAATATGATTGATATGAACAATTCTGATAAAAACTTCAATATTCAATGCAGTTAAAATAATAATAAAAATTTAAAGAATTCATACCTGATTTTAATAAATATAAAATAATTAGCTATTTTAGAGATATCAAAGTATTACTTTCCTTAATAATTTGTTTATTTACTATTATATTTAAGAACTTATAAAATGTTATTTCAGTAATTTCAGCTAAAATTCAAAATTTTTTATGATGCAAATTCAATTCAATCACATCAAAAACTTCTAAATTTAATCTGTTATTAGGAAGAATAAGATCTTTGTTAAAAGATCTAATTCCACTAAATATGCATTAATTGCAGCATTCTTCACCTCTTATTTTAGTCAAATAACTGGGTTTTCAATTAAATGTCCAATTTCTCTCTAAGTTTTATCATATCGAGACATCTAAATACTTAGGTATATAATTAAGAAAGCTACAGATAATCCCACTGAGAAAGATTTGGATACTTAATTAACACTAATGAAATCAAACATCATTTTATATAAAATGAGTTTTGGTTAATCCAATTTTATATTAAATATTTAATCACTACTGCAAAACTTTTCATTTTGTTTAAATAATTAAAATTGAATCTTACTGAATTCTTGTATCTTTAATTGTATTTTTCTTCAATTCATTAATTGATTTTATATTATTAAATTAAATTATATTCTAATTGTAGTATATAGTTGATATAAATGATATTCTCACTAAGACAATTTTATAAAGTTTCATAAAAGAATTTGTGCTTTTCATTGTATTATGTTATATGGATTTTAAAACTTGGACAATATACTTTGACCTGTCAAATTTTATGATAAAAATATTGCATGAAAATATCTAAAATAGCTTATGACAAATAATATCAAATCCTATTTGGCTACAAGCCATAACATCTCCCTGTATCATAAATATTTTTATTGACAAGGATAGGAGAAATATGTTCAAGTTATTTATTTATATTTTTCCCTAAATGAAAAACAGATTCTTTTTTTTTAATAACATTTTTTACTTATTTTATAAACCATCTTTAAGTTTGATGGGATATTCAATTTGCAAAATGAATTTTTATTCACAAAGAATAAAAACAATTTGAAATAAAAATATTTAAAATAAACTGGAAAAACAACAATCATTACATTGATTACAAGTTTTAATATTTAAATTTATTTAATGAAGCATAAACAAACATGTTTTATACAGTCATATATCATAGAAACACACATCCTTCATTTAAAAAAAGAAAGAAAAAAAAATGAAACAATTGCACTTTATAAAATTATTTTAAATGTGTAAAACATAAATTTAAAAGATTACGGTTCAGAAAATAAATTTAACTAGATATTTAAATATTGTTTTTCAAATGTAAGAATATTTTTCAATTCATAAAAGAAATTTTTAATAATCTCACATTTAATAACAACATAACTTTAATCTTTTTGAGTTAATTTATTTTTTTAGTTTGTATAACTGAAGTTGTTTTATTCAGCACAGAAATGATTTTGTAGCTCTTGCTTCAATTTTAGTTATTAAAGAATATTCTAATGAATCCTTCTTTGTTTCTTATATTTTGATTTTGTTTTTTTCTATTAATATTTTATTAATTTATACCATATTAAATTCTTGAACTATTTTGTCTTAAGATTTAAATAAAAAGTTGTCATATTGTATAAATAAATTTTAATTATCTTAAGCTAAGAAAAGAATTTTTTCAAATATTTATTAATGAAAATACATACCAATCCTATTTCCAATAAAAATTTATAGTTATTGATTTAAAATAAAACTTTTAAATTTTATATTTTAATCTAAATAAGTACATTCTGTTATACAGAAAAACTTCGGATTATTTAAAAAATGATTCACTAAAGATATTTCTATAATATTAAAGTCTAAATTCATATTACAATTTATCAAATAATTCAATTTGATGTCATCATTTTATTTATCAGTTTATGACAAACTATTTACAAAATTAATTTGTCATGTTATTAAAATTATGATAAAAACCTTAATTGTTAAAATTTCATTAAATATCAATAAAATACGAATTAATATATGATAAATTACCTTAATATAAAAAAATTGTTTGTATAAAAAAAATATAAAAAAATTACTAGTCTCATTTTTTTGTTCACTAATTTTTCCTTTTCTGTTGGGCATCATGGATTGGGGAGACTGAGTAGTGAGTAGTGAACCCAATATCCAAGCAGGACTAGTCTGGTAAACTGACAAATATCCAATCTAAATTTGAACTTGGGTTTGACTGACATTGCTAAGGTAAATGCCTGTCAGTCATTGGACATCTGACATCCATTATACTACTGATTAACAGAGAATATCTGTCTACTATGATAGACTAAACACTTGATATGCTTATAAAAGTAGTAAATTTATTTAAGAACTAAAAACAATTTTATTAGTTTTTCTCCCATCTAACATTAGTATCCATGTAAAACTTACGTTATAAATTTGCAGATTAAGGTTTCAGTATTTTAGATACAACAAAGATTTTTAGATTTATACTAAAAGAATTATNGATATACATGAAGATCAATTCTGCCAAATATAGATAAAATAAGCATAAATTACCCTAAAATCTTGGCTATAGGCCATGACCTGTATAAGTTTATATTCATAAAATTTATTGCATGTGGCTTATGCACAAAGGGTAACTAATATGTAAAAAAAAACCCAATTACCGTAACTACAGCATAAAAGAAAGAGGCAGTAAAATTCAATAGCTTATCATAAAAAAACTGGAACTTTAACTTACCATAATAAATTTTATAAAAATAAAGCTATGTAATGATGTTTAACTCTAGTACATGGCACAGTGAGATTTGCATAAATAATGATTTCCTGATGCTGTTCCTTTCCTATTGATGTTTACTCTGTTGTATCCTGAAACTTTGGCTGTGGTCTATATATATATATATATTTTTGTGGATAAAACTCTCTCATATATATATCAACATTTCTTTACAACTTTCACTTTCATAGCTTTTACACAAGGCCTGCCTATGGCCAAGGTTTTAGGATATATATATAAGTTNATTTAAAGTATAATACAATTTCTTTTCCAATAAGTATTTAATAAAATTTATTACAAAATCAAACTTCTGATATAACTTTACTGTATAATTACAAAATGTTTTCCGCAATATAGCAAAATAATTATAATGCTGATGATAAGACTTTGGTATCATGAAAACAGATATGCAAAATATCAATTGCTGACAACTTTTGAACTCTGATCTATCTGAAGTGTTTTGACGAAACATCAGACAATAACTAAAGTGAAATTAAAACTAACATGGTGTTCTATGTAAACAAAGTTCAATTTAGGAAGCCAGAATAATATAACAGTTGCTTACTTCATAAATTAATGTTACATAAAATTTGTAAAATTTAAAACAATTCTATATAAAGAAGTAAAATTAAAAATACATATTAAATTACATTCTATAAAATAAGTATATAAATTTTAATTATTATTTTTAAATTTAAAAATAGATGAAGTTAATATAAGGTTAAAATTATTAAAATTTATATTAAAATATATGATTACAACACAAAACATTCAACACTATACTAATATAACAACTAGAATTATCAATATTTTATATCAAATATTATTTTATTAAACAACTGGTGAGAAAATCAAATTAAATAGGGACTATATTTTCAAATTAATTATAAATATGGAATTTGTAGTATTTTTGGTCTATACTAAACTTAATTTGCATAAAACAATATGAAATCTGTATGTATGAATTTCCAAAAGATCAATTTTCACATCTAAAATAATACAAGTTTTTTTCCATAGTAATCATTAATATGTTCTATGATATTCAACTCTGATCATAATGACAAAATTTTAAGTTTATTAATTTATCAGTCATTTTTTCTTCTAACTTATATTTTACAATACAGCTAAAATATTTACTATTTCTAATAGAATGATGTAAATTCATTAATAAACAACAAAATCTAAAATCAGATATTATTTACACTCAACCCAATAATCATTTTTTTGACTACATTTTTCCTAATAACAGTGACTGTTATTCCATCCTTTAAAGAAAATTTAGTAACTTTCATAAATATTAAAAACATTAATGAAATGTTTGTATCCATGCAAGTAATAAATGTCAGAGTATTAAATTCTATTCCGCCATCCCATGGGAACTGAAAGAAAGGTATTAACAACAGAGTATCAAATAATGGAAATGATTAATCTGGGTATTTATTCAAAGTTATCCTATGAAAGGAAACAATGGAAGGAGAATATAATGTGCTCTATTGTTTCAGATTTGTTTAATTTCATTTATAATTAAACTAAAGTATAATTATTTTCAATCTGATCTTTTGTTATGAAGCACTTCTTTAAAATTTATTCAATATAAAATTCTTAATAATAATAATAATTAATAAAATTTCATAATTTACCTGCAAATATTGCAGTACTGTTGTGAGATGGGTCATAGGGACACAGTCCCTCTCCAGAATTTTCTTTTATCTTTTTATAATCTGTCGCCTAAATTAGAAATAATAAATTTAGTTTAAAATGAACATTCATAATATATTTCAACTTAATACAATATATGTTAGTGATGTATAGTGAAATTTCAATGCCATTAAAAAAAACTTTTTTTTTTTTACTTTTGTTGCAGTTCTTGAAGCAATATAAAGGATGTGAATAACCATTCATTTGACTTTCATTAATGTCATTCTTTGCCATTTCAAATTAAATTATGTTACGCAATTATATGCAATCATCATTTCTGAAGGAAGTACAACAATTTTCAATAAAGTCTGATAGTACATTTTTCTGGTAGAAGAACTGAATTTACAATTTTTTTTTTATGTGGTGATATCATTAACTTCTACTATATGTATGACTTCTATATCATATTATTTTGAATATTTGTACAAATTAAAAATTTTTTAAAAATTAGTTTTATTTTTGCAAATATTTTGTCTTTAGAATGAATTTTTTACATTTGTTTGTGGTAAAACTAACCCACAGATACAGAGAATAAAATATATTCAGAATATATTATTTCTGACATTAATTTTAAAATTTTATTTTTTTGTAACAAGATAACTTATAAGATAATATAGAACAAGTAGGATTCAAAATTTTACTAAATAGCAATAAGGATAAGCATTTTATTCACTGAAGAGTAATAAACACAATATATTATTTTTATAATGTTTTATCAAAGTTTTTAATTTATATTTCTATCCACTGTTCGGGATTTCAAAAAAATGTAATACCAAAGATCATCACAAAATTTATATATATAAAAGGTTATATGAAACATTCAAAACATATTATGTTAACACAGTATTAATACATTACTTTAATTATTCATAAAATTCTGTAATGATACTGCAATTTTCTTTAAAAATTTAATCAATCATAAATATCATTAGTTTTAGAATTTTCTAAAATGAATATTATGTATCTTGTCTTTCATTACAAACAAGCTAATGACTTCTAATTTTAATTATTATATGTAAACTTACATATTTATCTATATTTGGCTTTAGACTTTTAATAAATAATGATGTAGATAATAATATAAATTAAATATTGACTCTAACTATAACAATACTGAACTTATGTTTATTCACTTAAAATAAACTCTTATAATTATTAATCAAAAAGTTTCTATTTAAAGTGGAATTTTGGGAAATTTTATGTATTAAACAATGTCAAATGATTAAAATGTTTATTAATTTATATTATATCAGAAGACAATACTTTTACATTATTTTATATACATACATATTTAATATTTTAGAATAAAATATTCAATTTATCACAGTTAAAATATTTGCTAAAATCATGAAATTCATTTTTCAGATATAAAGAGCAATTTTTTGGGGGGGGTTAAAATTCTGATTTTAAAATAAAACTGAAGTAACATAAAAACTTTAATAATTATATTTTTACTTTATTATATTTGCCGTATTATCTTATAATGTATATAAATGTGTGTATATAATATGCAAAAGATATATTAACAAAACTCATCTGATGTCACTATTAACTCTTTTGCTATTAATAAAATCTAAACTCCTTCCTTTATAGAAGTATTTTTCAAAATGATTATCAAATTTTACAGAAAGACTTCTAAAAAGTAAGAAGTTTGAATTTAAAAAACATATTCTTAATTCTAAATTACATCAACAAACCTTATTATTTATTTATTTTGATAAAAGGCCTTTATATATAAGTTTAACTTACTCCTTGCTTGTAATGCCTACATAGTGGCTTGAAGGCATTAGTGCCACACACAAGAATAGTATCCTCTGATATTTTTGCAAGAACACGAATGTAATTTTGGCATTCATCCTGTATCAAAATATAATTATATTATTATAATTCATTTATTTAAAGTTTTCTTGAAATAATGATAAAGAAAAAACTACTCTCCTTATCTGTATAAATGCAATGTAAAAGAAATAATATAATACATACTAACATGTTAATGTAAATTTCTTTCATTGTTAAGAAATATGTTGATTCCATCTGACAAATATCCAAAAGCCAAAGGCAGACTAAAAGTGATATCTTGATTTGTGTAATCACATAGTATGTATTATTTCCCTGCAGCTAATCCATTCTATACTATGCTATTGAGAAAGATACCTTTTAGTGACTTCAATTGCACACCAACATTTATTACTTGTCTGATTGCTGTCATGTTTACAAACCTCTTGCAAACAAACATGAGAGAATTGAAAATGTAATGAAAACTTAATTTAAAATATTTCTCGAAGAAATGAAATAAAATCCAATTGCAACTGTTACTAAATTAGTTAAGTTCACACAAATCTTTACAAGTTTTTAGTTTCAATAATAGTAGATTAAATAAAAACACAAATTTGAAAAATTATTTTAAGTAAACTAATTCTAAAAAACTTTTAAAAGGATTATGAATCAATTAGTTAAAATACACATTAAAAATATCTTAGATGCCCTTATTTATACACATAACTATTTAAAGAATTGTGTACAGGATAAAAAATAATAATGCAAAATAAAAAATGTAAGTTGAATAGAAATTAATAAATTGTTAAATTCAAGTTTCAAAAATAAATTTATATTTAATTTTTTTTTCTGTTAGTAAAATTGCTACCAATTTTATCAAAATTCATATTATATGATCATTGTTAATATAGTCAAAAACCAAAAAGATGAAAATATCAACAAATGTTTTTGTATACAGAAACACAAATAACTATCATGAATGATATATCTAACTGTATTACAAATATCCATATAGTTTATTTTTCATTAAATATTTTATTAAATATGCTACATTATTTAAATTTAAAAAAATTAGACAGTTACACACATTTCATATGAAAAATTTTTTATGGCTACACGAACAGTTATCACTTATCTATACTTTTATGGTGTTAAAATATACAGTAAATAACTTGTTTGCATCTTGATTATGTAGATACAAATCTCATGTCATAATTAATCAACTCTTACTTTTGCCTTTTGCACCTTTTGGAATTTAAAATTTTTCATGTTTTACATTGCAAAATAGTATAAATTAACACCTGCTTCAAAATTCGAAAATTAAATTATTATGAGTGGAAAAATAAAAAGATTTCAGGGAATAAGAAAAGACTGAAATGAAATATTGCAATTTAGACAATGTGTTCATATTAAAGATCTAAACTAACACAAGAAAATATATAAGAAAGGCTGAGCTGTTAAGAAAAAACAACTAACGGAAATGTTAAAACATGGAGACGAAAGATAAACCAGAAAGAGGATGGAGAGATGTGGCTAACGACTTGTCACGTGTATGCTTGTGTATATAAATAGTAGGACAAGCAAACTGGGGGAGATAAGGCACGGAGGAGAAACGCAAAGCAGGGTAACTCTGATAAGACACGGATTCAAGTATGGACGTGCAAAGCACAAAAAAATGATGATAATAAACACGAAAACAGGGAAGGAGAAAAAGATGACTATGATAAATAGCAAACATTTCAGCAAATACTCCCATTTACATGTTGAGTACAATGCAAATGCAAACAATGGTGCAATTGTCTTGAATTTCGCTTCACTGTTTCCAATCAGTGGAGCATAAAGGTGTTATTAGAAATCAGGTGTAGGCATGCTTACTACCACTGTACTTTGCTCTAAATAGATCAACCGATGCATAAAATGGAAGATCTATTTACAGTTCGTTAGTTTATAAACACGTAAATCCTATAGAATTATAACAACACAACAATTCATGATATATTCTAATATGTTATAAATGAGGAAAAGGAAAAATCTGAAGTTAAATTTATACATCCTAAGTGGAAATTCTTATTGGTATTGACAAGTCTACCACAAAATTTTATTTTAAAAATTAATGTAAGGTAAAGCCACGATAACATATTTTCTATCAATTGTATAAAATTTGTGATGGAATATAATAACAGAAATAAAAATGCATAAAGGATTTATTTAAAATTAACGTTCATTTAATATCATACCTACCTCTGATTTTCCTTTAACTTTACACATATTAATGTCATTTTCACCCGCATACCATTCCAATCTCTAAAAGAAAAAGCAAACAGGAAAAAAAGAATTAAACTTCAAATAAAAAATTTCTAATATCAATATACAAAGAAAACAGTCATTACATCAATGTGCAAGAATTTGTCACCAAAAACACTTTCATTTGCACTTCTTTTTTGTGTATATATAATGCAGATGTCTCTTTTAGTCCATCAACATTCTTGTGATGAACAGAAGAAGCATAATCCCATGACAGACTACATAAAGCATCGGTTTAAATGTTATACACATTCAGCATTGTTCCTATCTCTATTGATGGATGCAATCATAATAATCTGCTTAACTGTGATTTAGAGGAACAAAGACGAAAAGAAGAAATAGGAGAATAGCAAAGTGAGATGTAAGGACTGAAAAAAGTGTAAGTAAACAGGAGTGTAAAGGAAGAAAATTGAGGTATGGGAGAAAAAAAGGACTGGATAAAAAATAGGGAGTGAAGAGAGAAAAAAATCAATGAGGCATGTAAGAAAAATTAAATGAAATTAAATATACATACAAAAAAAGTATTATTTTAATGGATCAAATAGTAAAGTTCTCTAAAACATATGCTCAAGAATAGAATGTAATTATATTATAGCCGGAACATATATAAAAGATATAATAGAGATTATCTGACAATCAATGAATTTGTAAAGGGTGTACAAAATACAAAGGAAGGTTATCTGTTTAATCTAATTAATTCAGAGGGAAACTTAAGATCCGTTGTTCACACGCTTCTCTTAAGTCATCTTGCTTTACAAATAATTCAAGAATTACAAGACGGATAAACTCTTAAAATTCTAGCTTGTGTGTAATTTTCAAAAAAAAAAAAAAAATAAATGTATTATCCTATTGATCAAATGGAGCTTGATTGATAACGCTACGATTGCAAGAGCCGCCAACGTCCTGATATATAGTAACTGGATCCGTTGCACGGCAACTCTAGGTGCAAACCACGCAACTGGAGGGTGGACAGTCGTCCAATGCACTCGGAGGGGCTTGTTTACGTTCTTCAGACGCTTGACCTAAATGTTTTCCTGGAGTAAAATGGAAAAATATTGCGTAATTCTTGGTTTTCGGAAAATATTACTGTAATATTTTTGTTTCGAGTTTCAGTTTTCAGTGCTTTGTAGCAAGATGTACACGCTCCGTACGGGTTTTAATATGACGTTGCACAATGAAGTACGCGGTTTAAAATTGCTGCAATTTTCAATTCTTATCGCTCAAGGCTTAAATACCGATGCTAATTAACCAATAAATGTTTTCGTATACTACAACATTACTTTCGTCGATATGCAATAAGTATTCAGCTGTGTAAATTGAACTTATCGCAGCTACTTGAACAATTTGGCACATTAAATTTATGCCTAAACCGTGACGCCAACTTTAAAAAATATCTTGTTAATTAAGGTTATTCACCGTTGTATAGATATGCGAAGGCGTTGTAAAACTCTCGATAGCTCAGAAAGCCACCGTCTGCAAAGAGAAGCGGAGGAGAAAAAAAAAGTAGAATAAAAAGGAAGAAAAAAAAAAAATAGGAGAAATCCCCGGCAGCGCGGCGACCCTCTATCTGCAGAAGGAGAGAAAAGCAAGCAATAAATCAGTCGCTTCTGTACTCTCTCCATTGTGCCCGTGGCTGATGAGGTGCTGTGTATTCATGGGGTATAGACGACAGTACAAGAAAGGGACTGCAGCGCAAAACTAACGATGATTGCCAGTTTAATTTTGCTAGCTGCGATAAGAGAGGGTTTTAGTCTCGCTTGGTAGTAAAGGGTTAGAGGGGGAAAAGTCGTTTTACCGTATCGGACGTCGCTTAATCGTGTCTGGTTATCGCTGGCGACATCATTCAATCTCGACCCCTCCTCTCTATTCACCCCTCTTCTATTCGCAACCCAAGCACAAGAATTGCGTAAAGGCGCAACTTTATCTTAAAACTGATGGATAAAGCCACTTGTATTGTTACGATAAAACGAGATAAGTGATAGGAACAAACACGGAAAAAAAGAATTTACAACAGCTGCTTACCTTTTTCTCCTGTAATGTTCCGATGCTAATGTTGTAAACGATATTCCTAACGGAAAAATAAATAATAAAAAAACTTTTGTTAATAAAACATCCCTTAAAATATTCTCCAATGCTGTTATTTANTTATTTAAAGTATAATACAATTTCTTTTCCAATAAGTATTTAATAAAATTTATTACAAAATCAAACTTCTGATATAACTTTACTGTATAATTACAAAATGTTTTCCGCAATATAGCAAAATAATTATAATGCTGATGATAAGACTTTGGTATCATGAAAACAGATATGCAAAATATCAATTGCTGACAACTTTTGAACTCTGATCTATCTGAAGTGTTTTGACGAAACATCAGACAATAACTAAAGTGAAATTAAAACTAACATGGTGTTCTATGTAAACAAAGTTCAATTTAGGAAGCCAGAATAATATAACAGTTGCTTACTTCATAAATTAATGTTACATAAAATTTGTAAAATAAATATATTCATATGCAGTGATTCACATGTATAAGAAGCCAACTTATATTTACAGAACTCTGGACTTTGTTTATTTTAAGTATATCATTTGTTGATTGTTTTAAATTTTAAATTATGCATGTGCATGAGTAAATTTCAAATATTAATTTTTTTATTCATAAATATTACATTTATAATATAAAATTGCTTTTATTCTGTAAAATGTATAAATCATTATTGCATTTTAGAAAATTTATATTAACCACAATATAATGGTTCAGATTGTAAATCACTGTATATATAAATATTATTTCAATACATTTATTACTATTTATATTTCTATTTAAATGACTTATACAAGGAAATCATTATTAACAACACAATCTCATAACTTGAGAGAAAAATTCAATTGATGATAATTTGCAGTTTGATGATTCAAAGTATAAAACTTTGATGATACCAACTTCTTCAGCTTTTATTGCAGTAAACAATATTTTTTCTATAAATGGCATGAATTGTAAAACTTTGATACTAATTTTACTAGAACATTAATATAATGTATTTAAAATTTTGAAGAACATTAATAATTCAAAATAAAGTTAAAAATAAATTTGTAAACTCCCTCGGCAACAGATTAGGTGTTGATTATTTTGATTATTAATTTGCCGAGTACGTTTTCTGTTCAATAAATTTGTAACTTATCATATAAAAAATATTTTCTGAGAGATAATCAAAATCCTGAAATTCATTAGCTGTCATTTAAATACAGTATTCAAAAATAATTATGTAAATATTAATTACTTTGAGATCTGCAACCCTCCTTTAGACAGTTGGCATCCCTGAAAACTGCATTTATCATAAGTTTTATTATAAAAAATATAAAAAAATCTTGAAACATAATTAACAAGTGTTAGAAATCATAGAACAAACATCTTAAAAAGTGAATTATTGCAAAAGTTACAGTGCAGTGCAAGTGACAAACCAGTGCACAACCAGAATATGCAGGCAATGCAGATCTATATATAAATATATATATATATATATGTAAACACACTTCTAAATTTATAAGTAACAACAATACAGTAATAATATTTATTTACAGAATAAAAGATTTCTTGTCAATAAATTCTATTAAAAAAAATAATAAAATAAGTTTCTTTAATAATTATAATTTTTGCCTTTTTTAAGTGCTAAGCATAATTAAATGCTAAATGTGTACATATATAAAATTTAAAATGTTTCTCTTTTTAAAATTTATTTACAATAATATAAATTATTACAAAAAGTTCAGTTTTATGTATCTTATTTTAATAATATTGATTAACAATAGTTTTATTATTACCTTTCCACAATTAATATATTCAACAGCTGTTTCTCTGAAGAAAAAATACACAAATTCTCCGTGATGGAGTGATCGAACAAAGTTTGGAGCTGTAAGAAAAAGAAAAACCTTTTCATATATGCATTAATTAAATTTATATTTAAGATGGTAAACAAAGTTATAAATTTCTTTTAATTTTATATAATGTTACAAAATAATGCATTACTGTAACTTTAATCTCTAATTTTTAAGAAACTGCTGACAAAGACTCTAAAATATTGTGTGAAAGGTTAAAGTGAAATTACTATTTTTATTGCATAACAATAAAGTTAATATAACAACAAGAAAAACTTTTGACTAGATTAAGACACAAAATTATTTTAATTTTAAAAATAGCAACAAACTATAATCTTTCCCAGAATAAGAATGGTATCTATATTCGTTAGTATACATATGGAAAGGTAAATAGTTCCATGTTCATTACAAAATAGAATAAATCTTGTGAAAATGCTAGAAATTTCAAATAGAACTAGTAAAAGTACAAAGAACTACTAAAAAGTCACATGATGTCATGTGATGTGACATTTGGATTCAGAATGAAAACATATAATCTTCATTGTTTAGCTGAGGTAGCATAGTGATCCAGCAAATTAGTATTTCATAGAATAAAAATGAAATTATGCTCAAATTTTTTGTAAACAATATCTATCCAATATTACATTTGTGATTTAAATAAAATAAGGATGCATTTATAAATTTATATATACAAGGTCTGTTCAAAAAGTATCGGACCTTTGGTCGACAAAAATAAATTTATTGACTTTGAGGAACAAAACCCTAATCCCCTTCAAAGTAGTCTCCTTGGTAATGTATACACTTCTCCCAGCGTTTCTGCCATTGCTGGAAACACTGCTGGAACGCATCTTTTGGAATGGTTATCAGCCGGTCCGTCGCATTTCGCACGATGTCTTCTCTCGACTAAATTTGGGTTCCTTTTAGCGGCATTTTCAGCTTGAGAAATAGCCAAAGGTCACACGGAGCCATGTGGAGAGA